ACTTATTTAACTTATATAATTAAAAAATAATATTGATCTCATCTTGTTATTACTTTGGTATAAAAATCAATACTTTGATCAAGTTTTTCTAAGAATATTAATTGTATGATTTTTTATTATTGTTTATTGGTATATTATTTAAAATTGTTTCAAAATTAATACATGTTAAAATGAATAATAAAATGTTATTTAAATCTGGTTTTACCTAAAGTTAAAACTGTGAAGATTTTCAATTCATCCTAAATGAGGGTATAAGGATTTACAGCCAGTTTCTCATTAATGGCAAAGCTCTGCCTCATTTAGGAGTATTGATTTTTAATCAGCAATCAATCTTCCGAATATATGTAAGATTAATACTTGTTTAATATTAGGAAATCCCTTCAGGAAACAAATGAGGCTGCGTTAAAAAACTATTTGGCAGTTTTCAACTCTTCAGCGCTCATTATTCTTAATTTCCCACACAAGGGATGACACTATGTAATATTAGAAAATCAATTTAGGAAAAAAATGGGGCTCTGCTAAAAACTATTTGGCACCAATAATGCACAAAACACCTCCATTCTTCTCTAAAGATCACAATAACAATGAACAAAGAATTACTACTTCAGTGGGTAACCTCACCAAAGCCAACCTACTTTGTTTACAACAGCTCAGCAGTGCTGCCAAATAAATTGCCTTAACACTACATATATTCCCACCTTTACAATTTATGATTTAAATTGTAAACAGATTTAAAATAACAAAACAAAAATTTACAAGTTAAATCATTAATTTAATAACACTTAATAAACTACTTCACAATGTTTTCTGCTTCCCTTTTTAGTCTTGATAACATCACTGGCTAGTAACATTTCGAGATACACTACTCTTCTTAGCTGTTTTTTTTTCCTCTTCCAGTTCTGGAAAACTTCCTTAGAGGACAATGAAGAATTATTCATACCACCAATTGTTACTTGTACTCCTCTCCTTGTACCTTTCTGACTGAAGATCTAGTTCTGAAGAAGATCTTGGTTCTGAAGGAGATCTTGGTGTGCTGACGACAGACCTGATACTATCTCATGCGATGTTTCTGGAAAGACTGTTTCGAGCTGCAGATGCAACAATGTTTTTACTCCAGAGGGTTGTACAATGCGTGGAATTATTGCTTTAACTGATACTGATCCGGTCTTCTTGGTAGTGCCATCATCTAGACGAACGCTTAGTAAACTATTGTAATGGGTCGAAGATATTCCAGCTTGACCTGAATGGTGAAACTCACTTGGACTAGAGTCAAAGTGCTCTAAAGGTCTCCCTCTCGTAGGTGTTCTTAGCATGGAACAGGTATGTGTTTTAGTTTGGCCAATAATTGTCCAACCTAGTCTAGTTTCTGTGGCTAACAAATTTTCAGTTATTGGTTCTAACCTTTCTGTCAGGTTTTGTTTCATGGCATCTGTTCCAAGTATCAACTCTACTTCTCGCATGTCCCTCCCACCATCTCCATCGCTACATGGTATATGCTTTATTTTTAATATCTCTAGGCATTCATCATTTAATCTGGAGATATCACTGCAAATTTTTAAGTTTTCGAACTTCACTTAACCAAAAAATTTACCTATTAAATCTTCAAGTTTGACATCGTGCGTAACTTCGTTTGTTTCAACAACCCAAAAATGGTTATATGAAGGTATTTCTTCATTTTCTTTCTGTAATTTCTCTCTAGAACAACTGATAGTTGCTGAAATATCATTAGCATGCCAAGTTTTATTTGAATGCCCAACCAAAGCATCAAATTTAGTTTCTATTTTTATCCACTTGTCCTGATAACTTATGGATGTACCAAAATCATAATGGGTCCTTTTTCATCAACTAGTATCAAAGCACTTACCTTTTTCTCAAACTCTAATAGATGTTTAGCTCTAGCTTCTAAATTCCTTTTTGAGCTCAGGATCATTTTCAGCTATTTTCATTTCAACTGAAGTAGCCAAAGTTGTAAATAAATGTCTCCACTGAGCTCTTTCTAATTTGGCAGTTTTCAACACTCATTATGCTTAATTTCCACGCACATGGGATGTCACTATTTAATGTTAGGAAAAATTGAGGCTTTGTTAAAAAAAAATATCTGGCACCACAAATACACAAAACACCTTTATTCTTCTCTACATATTACAATAACCATGAACATAGGACTACTGCTCCTGTAGGTAACCTCACCAAAGCAAAACAGCTTTGTTTACAACAGCTCAGCAGTGCTGCCAGATAACATGCCTTATATTCCAACTTGTAAGAGCTGTCACCTCATTTTACTGTCATCTTACAGATACTTATACATTGCCCATTGTTTAAATCTATACACACTCTTATAGATCTACCTATAATTCAAATGTTAACTTAAGCCATTCTTTATTTTAATATAAAGACTCCATTGCAATGTAATTTAATTAACAAGATTACCTTGTATACCAGACAAATGTCACTAAAATGTTCATAATAATGATTCTTAGGGGAATTAACGCCTCACAATAAATTTGTTTTTCTTCTTCAAAGTAGAATAAAGGAGGAAAAGAATCTTCTTGGCATAAAAGGTACCTCTGATTAAGAGGTATAGATCTCCACTCTATATCTAGGATGTTTTCTAGTCATTACACTAAATCAGAATAGCTTTTCTGGGATCCCAAATGGTGTCATAACTTTTAAATGGTTGATTCCGGAGACTATCATATGCTTGTTAGAAATCTACCAAAGGTGATTGAGATCAATATTGTACTCATATGTCTTCTCCAGCATTTGATGAGTGAGGAGGATATGATCTGTGGTGCTTTTTCCTGGATGGAAGCCACTTATTTGCTAATATTTCTTTCTGCCCACAATTATTCTGTCTATTTGACTGAAAGAAGTTAGTAGTGGGAGATACCCCAATAGTTATGGCAGGATAAGCTATCACCCTTTTTATTTATTGAGAACATAACTGTCGCATTCCAATCCTGTGTTATCCTCATTTCTGTCCAAACATCAAATATAAGGTTATATATTTCCTTTACCATTATATTCCAGCTGTTAATGGAGTGCTTCGATTGTCTAGTGGTAATTTTTCTTCCTCTATATCTGCTGGGCATCTTATATACTGAGATAGTTTTTCCTTAATAGATAATTCCTAACTCTGGAGTAGTTCTGCAACAAAATGATTCTATTTATCCACAAAAGATCTTTTATCTCATACCAGATTTTCCTCTCTTATGTTTAATGTATTCCAACCTCAATTTATAGCCGTTCCAAAATTCCTTGTCTATTTAGCTGCAAAATCTTCCTCAAGCTTATCTAACAGCGCTTTCTTTTACCCCCATATTGCTTTAACTTCCCTTTTTTTTATTGGTTTTATAGTTTTTAGCTTTTGTTATAGTCCTTCAATGGGTCATTTTCTACCTGGCATTATTTCTTTCTTTAAAAGATTTTACAGTCATCAAAATTATTTTTTCTGTTTCATATCGGTTCATTATTTTAAAAAAAAAAAAAAAAAAAAGTAATTTCATATTTATAATCTGATTATATTAATGATTTAGATTTAGTTATGACATACTATGATTATAATCAGTGTAGTATCTATCACTGAAACAATCAATATAAATCAGTCTTTTTGAAAGATGAACTTATGTCCAGTCTATTTATGCATAACTATTTGACTTATATTAGGAAATTTAATCAATAAAATTACTTTCTACATACCCATAACCAATTTAAGAAGTAAAAATTAACGAGTACCAAGAAAAATAAATGAAGTAAACAATTTTTCCTTGACAATCATCTATAAAATATATATTTTTTAAATTGGTTAAATATATATATATATATATATATATATATATATATATATATATATATATATAAAATTTAATTGTCTTTTATTTTGTAAGGACCAATCATTATCCTTAACTACTGAACCAGCTACTATGAAAGTTTTTGGGCACATGATATTTCAGGCTTTTAGAAAACACAGTCCATAGTGGCTTTAAACAGTCAAGGCTCGACCTAATGTACGATTATGAGTAGTTGTAAAAAATCACAAAACTTCAGATATTATTTTTTTCAAGTTACTGACTTTGATTTAAAGAAAATTGTAATATAAAGTATTGAAGTTTGAAATAATTTACAATTACAGAAAAAGTTTTATGAGTGGATTTTTAACACAAATAGTATCTACTTAAACCTTTAAGGGAACAGGATATATTATTGGGTTCTGAAATTCAATACATGTTGCCTCAGATGGCTCAAAATTCTATTCAAGTATATTTAAAACAAAAAAAAAATTACAAGATATATATAACAAATAACAGACAAAAACTAATCCAATTTTACAATTGACATGATATTTCACTATTATTTACATCTTTCAACAGTGAATGAGGAACAGACAATTTACCAAAAACTATAGATAAAATTGAACATAATCACAACTTAATAAAAAGGATGATGGATCAAAAAGTATTATAACAGGGGAGGAGGGGGGGGGGGGAAGAAGGAGTGATAGATTACAAAACTATGAATAACTACAAATTCGTTATTCAATCACATCAACATTTTTACAATAAACAGAATCAATTCCAATGATTGTTTGGTTTCAACTTGCTATAAACAAATTATTAATTAGCTAAAACTATAAATTATAATCTTGTCCGTAAAACTAGAGGCATTTGTTTGTTTTTAAAATTTATTAGGTGGCAAGACAGATATCAGTTACTAAATAGTAAATACAACTGCTAAAATTCATTAATATTATACATATTTATTTAAATTCAAATGATCACAGATTGTTTTTCATTTTTTTTCTTTTCTAGTAACTTTTAAGCAATTTGAAAAGAAGTATCTTGAAGATCTAAATTAAACATCTTAGAGATGGAGCTTAAAACGAAAAAACTGCCAGGCGAAAAAATACATACAATTGCCCGGTCATAAATTACATTAAGATTTTCCATTATTGTAAGAGGAACATTTTCACAAACCAATAGAAAAGGATGTTCTTTCTAATACTATTTTTTCCCTTTCTTCCCTTTAGGTTTACAATATTTATCTTCCAAGTGCTGGAACAGAGCATCGGCACTTGCTTCTCTTTCCTTTCTTCGCATCATGATAGCTTTTAGAGCATCCATATCTCCAAGGTCTTCATCACTCGCTCCTTTTTTCTTTTTCAAAATTTCTTTTTTTGCTTTTTCTGCTTCGCCAGCTTCTTTCATAAACTAAGGAAGCACAATAAATATAAAAGAGGAAGGAATAAACAAAAAAAGAAGAATATAAAATAATTAATCAAAATCTCAATGTATCACTTTTTATTTGTTTTTTAATATCCTCCATATCTTTAATTTAGGAAAAACTTTCTTTAAAAAATATATGAATATTAAATAAAAATAAAAAATCTATGTAACAAAAATTGTTGTCATGCCAAAGTTCAGGAAAAACTCGTAAATGTTCTTTAGTTCGTATTAGTATCTCGTAAAAGTTCTTCTACCTTAGCTGACCACAGGGAGATTAAGTTCAGTTTATTACTTCAGTTATACTGTTGAGTTAACAACGGTTTCATGAAAAAAAAATTATCAAGAAAAAGTGAATGCTTTATTTTCGAGCCATACTCGCTTAAATACAATACATGAGTAGTGATATACACTGTATACTAGTGTAGAATAGTTATGATTAGGGAACAGATTTTCATGAAAAAATATAAATCTAATTTTACAATTACATTTTCACAAATATTTTACAAAATATGAGAAATATGTAAAATAGAAATATCAAGAGATGAATTTTTAAGGAAAAAATCCCAAGTGGTGACCATAACACACCACTTTGAGTAGAAACTAATTTTAAATAACCTTTAAAAATATCACTTGAACAATAAACTAGGTTAGTCTAGTAAATTGGTTGTGAAAAAAGAGAGTTTTTTTGCATCATTTGAGGTTGTTCTGAATATTTAGTGATTAGTGTGTGATAGATTGTTAGAGATAAATCTAAATTTTCGACCACAACAAACCACCAGGATCATTCAGAAAAAATTATAAACAAAGTACCAACTTCAAGATAAAAGTGATTTAGTAATCTTTTAAAGGGAACAAACTTTGCAACAAAATAATACCTAATTGATTTCTTTAAACCAATCACTTTCTGAATCTATAGAAGATTAATAAAAATTGCTTTTTAGATTATAAAACATCAGAAAAACCTTGGGTTAATCGACATATGAAAATAAACATTGACAAAACAAAAATTAAGAAGATAGGAAGAATAGAAAACCGTTTCAATAACTATTTTGTAAGGTTTTTTAACTGAGACATCAACTTAAAAATGGCAATTATCAAAAATTCATCAATTGGAGTAAAAACGAAAAGTATTTGTTGAATGATTTGATTTTTTAATCAAACATTTTACATATATCCAACTTACTTAATACAATTTATGTAACAAATAAGACCTACATTATGTTATAATGTGTAAACTTGCCCTTCTATTTGCTTCAGATTTTTTTTATAATGAATTTTATTAGTTGTCTACATACAGACTACATATACTCACTAAATATGTAAAAGAGAACATGTTTTATTTGCTTTTATATTGCTTAAAAGGTAGAAGAACAGTCAAGAAGGGTGTACAAGTCTTTGAAAAACTATATAAATACATAAAACCGAGTCCCCTATTTGTGACGAAATAGGAGAATGAAAACAATTTTATTCATTTTTAAATAATTTAATAAAGAACTCCAATTTTTAAACACTAGACAAGAAATTAAGTTTTGTTGATTTATCAATAAATCAATGAGAAGGAAGCAGATAATTGATTCAGGGGTCGGGAGAGCTAATGATTCTTACTTTTCACCCCTAACAAATATCCTTATGGTTTCCTTTAATCTCAACACATTTTATAACTAGTTAACATTGAAGTAAATAATACTTACTAGTAATCACTATGAAAAAAAATTCAATTATTAATTTATCTTTTAGGCTAGTTAGATGAGATGAATAGGTTGACATAAAAAATATACCTAGATAAAGTACCTAGATTATAATTTTTCAAGTCAAAGATATAAAAATAAATAAAATAATAAATGCAAGAAAAATGAAAAAAAAAAATCATTTAAAATAATACCTGTTACTTACTTTTCTCTTCCTAGCCTCCCTCTTTCTAGGAGTATCATTAATAAATGCCTTGTGCTTGGGAAGTTCACCTTTATCGATAAGTTCTTGTAATATATTCCTAATCCTGTCGTCATCTTCAGGTGAAGCAAATGGAACATGATCATAGATGTAATCCATACTTCCTTTACCATTTTTGTATGATTGGATCAAATCTTCCAACTCTTCTTCACTACCTAAAGTATGATATGTTGTAATAAGCTACTACTGACTACAAAGTCTACTAAAACTCCAAGCAGGCTCCCGACACTGCGGTAGGATAGAGAATGGATTTAGAATATAAAATATTTCATTAAGGAATAGTAATATTAAAAAAAGACTATTGGATGGTGATATAATCCACAATCACTGACTGTGCACTTTTCAAATTTCAAATTAATTAGGTCAGCCTTAACATAATCCTCCACCTATATTTCTATGCTTATTCCTAAGACATATATCCCAAAGTTCAATACTTATTATTTTTACAGTTCAATTAATACTGAATCGATGAACATAACACTTTATGTTCATTATGAAGAAGTTTGATGTGGTCCAGGGTTCACTGATTTGTTAACAACTTTTAATTTGCTAGGTGGGTTTTCATTCCACAGATTGCCAAACATCCGATATTTCTTTTTTGAGAGGAAAACTCATTTCTGGAGGGGACAGGAGAGGAGTACCTCAGTCTGGGAGTGCGAGCGCTTGTTTGGCTGCCGTATCTGTAAGCTCATTACCAACTATACCCATATAAAACAAACAGATTTTTCAGAATTTTTAAGAATGTGAAGATATTTGTGTATTTTTAGGATAACTAGATGTTTTGATTACATGTCGTTAAAACCCTTTAATGAACTCAAGGAGTCGGTTATCAAGACTATTGTGCCTGGAGTTATTGACATCCAGAAGTGGAGGACTGAGGGTATTGCATGAAGTTCGGCTGTGTATATGCTGTTTAATTAATGAAGTTTTATTTTATGTGTGGAGTTATGGGTAAAAATGAAGAACCTGTAGCATCAACTGATTTCGAACCATCAGTGTAAATTAAAAAAGGTTCCGGAATATTTTGTAGAAGACGGGAAAATTCGGTTTTGTATTCGGAAGGTAAGTTATTGCTTTTAAGTAATCGAGAAAGGTGGAGTATTGTTTTGGGGAGTTTGTGGATCCAAGGTGGGGCTTGGTTTTTTGTATTGCATAAAGGTAAGTTCTTAAAGAATTGAGCTGCTGAAAAAATTCTTTCTGACAGTGGGAGCGTGGAATTTGTCTTGTTTATATAAGCGTTAGAAAATTTTGGTTTAAAAATGTAGTAATGTGTAGGATGTTTATTTTGGGGAAATAGCCTTGAAGGCCTGAGGAAGTTATAGCATGGGATTGAAATCTAGTTGACAAAAAAGAACGAGCTTTGGGTATCATGAAGGTCAAATTTAAAATTGTACATGCTTGAGAGGTCCCATCATGATTTCAGCAGAAAATAAACGAACATGAGAATCAAATACTTTTATGTAAAGAATATTTGATTAGAATGATCAAATAATTTCTTCTTTCATTTTTTTCTGGTAATGCGGTTAAATAAATGGTGCCCCAATCTATAATTTTATGTCCTAAGCACTTTACAAGTTTATTCATATTTATCATGCATTAATTGGCATAGGTAACTGCAATCATAGGCGGATCTACAGGGGAAGAGAAAGGGGACCTGAAGCTCTCCCCTCCCCTCAAATGGTAAAAAATAACCATGTCTTATGAAATAAATATTAAAAACCTATGCCTTAAAGTATTATTGTTCCTGTAATTGCATTAATAGAAATTTTAGAATAATTTAAACACCATTTCACATAGAAAATTACTAATTAGTTAGTTAATTTCTTTTTCTCCCTAAGTACTAATCATTTACAAAATAAATAAAAAAAAATTTCGGGCAGAAGCCCTATCCCCAATTCAATCCTGGATCTGCTAGTGACTGCAGTGGTGGATAAACATATCCGTGTCAAGTTGTCGCCTCTGGCACATCAATGAAAGATATTGTACAATATATCAACAAGAAAATTATAACCTCTAACTAAGTAACCTGCTCTGAAAATGAACCTTCTCACATGCTTATTTGTACTTTTTCATTCTATGGCTAATAGTATTAGTGATATAGGAACCATTAGGAAAAAAAAATATTAGTCCTTGTACTTTCCACTTTTGTGCATACGATCTAATACTCGTTTTATGAAATAAGTTATTCAAAATCTAGGTTATGTAATCCCCCCCCCTGCTTCTAAGAAATACTATGAAAGTATTAGATGCCTGAATACACTGTTTGGCTCATCTGACACTGTATATTTATTTAATTAAGAACAAGACAAAAACATTGTTAAAATGTTAGCACGAATAATATATATTTCAACATAGGAAATAATACAAAAAATACAATTGCATTTAAAAATACACACCTCTAAAAATAATTATAACTTTTTCGTTATAGAAAAGATTTCACATAAGAAAAAGAAACAAGAATCAACAGTTCAGAAAATCAAAAATTTATAGATGATACTTATATTTATAGCTCGGAAGAGATTATCTTTGTCCGTTAATCATTACTTTCTGTTTTATTATAATATAAAGTCCTAAGGACTGTAATGAAATACAAGACATACTTTGTACTTAGTTATTCTACTTCTATTCTGTTAAAAATGGGAGAGAAAACCAATCCAAAACATAAGTAAATATAGTGATAATAGATTTGTGAAAATGTTTTATTTTTATCGCTAAGATTATCAAACTGATTAAAACACAACTTAGCATTTGTAATAATAACCTATAAAATGTTGTTGAGTATCGTCAACAGGGTCAAAAATGGAATAAATTGGTCTCAACAGCAATTAAGTTGAATGTTTATTATTATTTTTTGATCTTAGTTTTTACATAACAATGTCACACTATCACGAACATAGTACAGTTAACCTTACTTCCAGCTGTGAACTCGTGATAACAGCAATAGTTAGCTTGTACTTTTAATTTTACAACTTTAAATTTGTACTTTTTTTTATGAAACGAAAAAGTACCAAGTACAAGTTACTAGAATAATACTATTAGTTTGTACTTTAATTATGAAATAGGCTCCCGTTATTCATTATGAAGTCCAACAATTTTATAAGTCCATTTCTACCATTACAGTGCTATTATTTCAATTATATTAATAGAGGCCATGTCCTGCTATTGCACATATTTAGCACCAATTTTCTGGGATGACAAACAAAAAACAAATAAATGAAACTGATTTTTATAATAGATCAAAATATGTTACAAGGATGTAATATTCTTCAAGAGAATACTTTTTTTTTATTTCCTCTTCATGAAAGCTCTGATTCAGATAAGAAAGAAATTGCTAAAAGACAGTTTATGCCATTTAATCGGTTATAAAACCATTAAATTTCTAATTAACACAGCCAAGGTTCAAGAAATTGTGGGATGTAGAGAAAAAAATAATGGAATAATTTGTAACACAGTTTGTTTGCATTCGTTTTCTATAAAAAGTGTTATTTTTAGTTTTCAATAAAGAAAAGTTGCATAGCCTTTAGGTACAACTAATCCAATTTATAAGCTTTAAAATTATTTCAAGCTGTAAGGATTTCAATAGAAGTTTCAAATCAACCAGAACAAAGAAGTCCGCCAAGTAGAGCCAGTAAAGTTTCCTTACCAATTCTATTGCTCACCTAATTAATTGTTTATATATCAGCAATTTATTGTTGAAGATTAAAACCTACAAGAAAAGCCATTTTGAAGTGTAGTCTTTTAAAGAAAAATGTAAGCTAAGCAATAAAGTCAATGGCATTTGATACAATTACAATTGGCATTGTACCACACAGGTATCAACCCTCAATCTCTAAAAAACGTTTTCAAATTGAATGAACAGCAAAAGATTTATGCCTATCACATGAATTAGACTACAGATAGATATAGTTTCAAAACTCAAAATACCTTGGTAGAAGAAGTTTGGAACTGGTCTAACTTCCATTCAAAGAAAACCAAGTTTATAAATTCTCCATGTTTTGGCTAAAACTAACTTTAAAGTGCTTTTTGAAGGGTTAGGTTAGTTCAAAATATGTTCATTACCTTTCATAACAATCATTTAGAAATCTTGAATTTGAATAACAACATAATAATCAACATTACACCACCTTTTTAAAAATAGCAAGGGATTAAGAAATAAGACAGTTGAGGCAAACATGAGGTAGTGATGGCAGAGTGTTGGAACATTGCCTGTTGTAGCATTCTCATGCCTAGCAACGCTGGTTAGAATCCGGCCTGGGAAGAGTTAAATTTTATTTCATGTCGGACTTACGGAAAAGAACTTGACCTTCCGTCTTAATTAAAAAAGGTTTGGATATACCTCTAGAACAAACCTTCCCTACTGCATACCAGAAACGGTAGGCAGGGAGTAAAAAAAAACAACAAAGTTTAAGTAAACATGGCCAAATGATAGTTTGGTACTTTGATTCAAGCAAGTTTTTACTTTCACTTATCTATATAGTAAGAGACAGTATTATGATCGTGAAAATTTTTGAATCTGAGTTTTCAACGGAAATACATGTTTTGATGTCTCCTGAGTCCAAATAACCAAGTCCTACAAAATGGTCTGTGTGCATGTATGTGAGAAGTCTAGCTGAAAATGAAAAGTCATATGACAGTAAAATTACATATTTAAGGTTTGTATTTACCCGAGATGTTACAGCAACTTTTTTGTCAAAATCATCTAACCCGCAGTGGCACTTTATATAATCAATGTTAAACGTTTTACGATTTTCTCGAAAATGGCTCTAACGATTTTGATCAAACTTGTATTATTAAGCAGTTATTAATATAATGTAGGTTTTATTCTCATTGATGTTCTCTAAAACATGATTGATTGTTTTTTAATATTTCCCAATAAGAAAAATTAAAACAGAATTTCTTATCATGTAGGGATTCAAGGCTGCTGGACACACTGTCAACATTTAGTCAATTAAACTAAAAACATGCCATGATAACTTTAATTCACATAGAAATAGATTTTAGCCCTAATTTTTCCAGCTAATTATTTCTGATAAAAATAACTATAGGAAATATCTTGCCCTCTTAAGAGTGAAATATTACGTTTTCTAAAATAACATAAAAAAGTGTATATATATTATACATTAAAAAAAAATCACTTACTCTTGTATTTCTTTTCATAATCAATAATATCTTCAAAGGATATTTCTTTGAATAAGGATCGCCAATATTGTGACCAATCTCTACCACTTAAGTCATCATCATCATCAATAGAACCTAAATAAATAAATAAAACAAATTTCATAAATATTAAGACTTTGGTATTATTTACTACAGATAATTATGTAATCTTAAGTAAAAGGAGTCATGCAGCAGCTCATAGAAAACCAAATTAGAATGTTTAACAATTGATCAAGATAATGAAAAAGTAAGATTATTTTATACTTATATTAAATGTAAAAGGTAAGACAGGAAAGATTCGAATAAAAAAAAAATCATTAAGTTGAAGAAACTAAAAAAAAAAAATTATTTACAATGAAAAACTAGAATACAGGAACTAAGTAGAACTGAAAAATGTTTTTAGGCCATGTTTATCATTTTAGATAAGTATTATTTTTTAGTTTTTATTTATTTTTTAGATATATTTCAACAGAATTCAGTCTGCAAAATTAGATATGAATCTAACTTCGCTTTATTGAAGTAACCTCAAACCTCATTTTCATAACCATTAAAATATCTACAATGTTAGAACATTATGTTTACCCCGCTTTTGTTCTGTAATATAACCTCAATCGTCAGGTTCCAGATTTTGTTAATGATAAACTCCGGCTCCTATAATTTAACACCAGCTATAACCTCAATCATCGTATTAGAGTAATAATAAATTAGGTACTACTGTGCAAGTGTTGCTTCACTTAGACAATTATGTCAAGATCTGATGAACAAACAATAAATACATAGATTCCAACAATGGCCAAGGATTGACAACTTGTCCACAGTATAACCTACATTTAATTATATCATGATCTATGATTTCCCAAACTCTCAATTGGCTCTTATCAGTTATAAGAGGGACCTTAATTAACTAAAATTAAATCTCTGCTTTTGAATTTCACTAGATCAAAAGGGATAATCAAACTTCTAGCAAGTCTTTTTCGCTTGAGTCTAACAAGACCATTCAGTCACCTTACTACTTACAGTACGCACTTGGCTAATCTCGGGATTTACTTAGTCAGGACATTTACTCCAACACCCACAATATAAGCGCACAGCAAATCAACTAATGATAAGGGAATAATAAAACTAATGCCAACCTGTTTCATCATATACATTCCTTTTTTCTGGATCACTTAAAATCGAATATACCTTTCCAAGTATTTTAAACTTTTCAGTAGCATTTTCTTTCTCTTCCTCCAAAACTCGATCTGGATGGACTTCCAAAGATAACTTTCTATAAGCCTTTTTCACTGAAATACAATGAAATGTGAGATATAATTAGGAAAGGAAATATCGCAATTAATATTAATGTGATCAATTTAAAAACACACCTTCATCTGGTGTTGATTTCTTCCCAATTCTAAGGACTTCGTACAAATCTTTTGTCCCATAGTAATTCTTACACAATTTCAGAAAGGATGACATGGTCAAATAAACTGTAAAACAAACAAATCAAACAAAATTTGGATAAGACAAAAATGAACGTGATGTAATGTAATTTTTTTTCAGTGTTTACAACAGATATGGAGTCTTGGATGGCGGGAAATTGCATCAGCTGTTTAATTTCCCTCTGATTCAATTATAGATTTTTGATGTATGTTTTGATCGTCCTCCTGTCAAGAAAATGAAACACATTAGTCAAACGAAAATCAAAATAGTTAGTAATAATTTTTAGTTAGCAAAAAATAAAAATGTATGCCTCTTTGTAACATAAATTCATCAAGTTATCATTGATAACATATCAGCTGGACACCACAACTGATGACGTCACTGTCGCTGTTCTCACCTACAATAATCATTTTGAGCGCACCTGGTTGGTGTGCCGTGGTTGTTCTTTAAGTCCGAGTCGATTCTACGAAATTTTCCGTTCTTTAGATTTTGAATTTTAAAATTTCTGGTGTATTTAAACGCTATCGAGTTTAATTTCTCTTCCAAGAAGAAATAAATTTAAATAAAAAAAATGACTAGTTCCAATGAAGGCTATTATGTCAAAAATGTCTTGGCGCCAGATTCGCCGGTTGACGGACCAATATGTTCTAGACCATCAAAAGGAAAGAAATACTATCGTAAAGCTGCCCATCGGTAAGTACAGAACTCTATTTTGTTGGATTAGTAAGCCATTGGAATTCACTGTATAAATTTTCTGACTATTAGTCCTTGTTAATTCCATTGTCTATCTTATTGTTAAATTAATCTTTTCTGTAATTCATTGTAATTTGAATTTTAATAACGCTTTCCCTAATAAATTATAATCTAACGAGAATCCCATAGATTCAACAACAAATGACCTTTTTATTAACCTTAGTTTATTTTTGGAAAATCGGAAGATAATTTTAGTTCCATTTTATAATTATAATATGATTAACAAATACTAATACGTAAGGCAAATTTGGTGACCAACAACTTCTTGCTAAAGTATTTATTTGGTTATTCATAATATTATTTATTACTACCAAGTTATAAATTATGTATTATTTAAATGCTTATATATGATTTGTATTGCTTGCTTTTAGATTTATATATAATTATTATTGGTTGATAATCGTTTGTTTTAAAACTGCATTTTGAGTGCAATACTGTCTGTATATTCTTTATGTCCTGTCATCATAAACATATCTGAACTCTGTTAAAATTTATGGTCCTGTTTACGAAATGTTTCTCTTTATATAACTGTTCAAAGTCAAACCAGATGTATTTGGTTTTGTTCTACAGAATCATAAATTATGTCGAAATGGTGACGTTTTATAAATATTTTCCACACCTTGTTGGTTAAAAAAAAAAAAATAATAATTGCCGTTTTATTTCTTGTGATGTTTTTATGTCTTATTTTGTTTGTTTTGATAGTGATTTCCGGTCTTGTTTCCTGCTGTCTGCTTAGGTACTGATATATCCTTTATCTCAATAGATTTTACTATTGAATTGCAAATTAATAATTTTTTTGCAATATGGATTTTATTTAAATACTTGAATCTAGTGGAAAGCCTTTCCATCTGCATTGCATTATATTAGTTTATTTTGAATTAGGATAACAAAAATATCAGCTAACTATATTACATGACTACCACTTGGCAACATTGTCTCGAAATCGCCATTTTGGATAAAATAACTTTTAGAACTGACCTATGAGATGTATTTGTTTATTAAATTAAGATATGATGAGAAAATCTAAAAACAAAGGCCTAAGGCTTTTTCAGCGGTATTTTAGGGGCAAATGCCACTGAAACTACACCTTTAGCTGACAAAAGCATTATCAAGACCACTAGCGGATCCAGGATTTAATTTTTTTTTTTTTTTTGGGGGGGGGGGAGGTGACTTCAGCCCGAAAGCTTCATATATATATGAGGGATGGAAACCTGATTATTACCGAAGTTATAAAGGATAAAATAATTCCAAGTTCACGTCTCCGTGCGGAGGAGGGTTTTAACTATGACATTAATCCCCGCACTCACCCCATGGCCGGGAAAAACTCCGTATAGCCTATAAGGTGAGGAAGGGGAGAAAGAAGAAAATATTTATATTACACTAAAAGTCAGTTACGTTGCTTCGGATGCCTGCGCACCAATGCAAGTGTTCGTTATTCTTGTGTGCCCTTCTAAGAAAACAAAGAAACTGGGTACTTAAAAAACAAGAAAGGTGCTAATTTACTTCGTTCGATTATCACTCTCTCATACGTGTAATAAAAAGGGTATATTATCTGCAACACAGATTAATAAATTATCCTTTATACACCTTGTTTTTTTCATTTTGTTGAAAATATTTTTAATGTACCCGTTAATGCATCCCCCTTAAACTCTGCCGCTATATGCGTCACATAGATTGCATTAACGTTATGTACGCTGTTCTAAAAGTCTTTATCTATAAAAGCATTCTCCATCGTTCTCCAAGATGCTCCGTTATCTTCCCTTTTATATAAATAATTTTAAAAAAGTATTTTGAAAAACAATTGCTCGAAAAACGTACTAGAAAAAGAAAAAGCAGAAAAATAAGATATACTCGATTTGTCTAAGATAGGTGTTCATTAACAGGAGACTAATACAATTTTATGATTCATTAAAATACTTAACAAACACACTTTAATTAATTTTATTGTATTTACATTGTCGCACCCTGATTGATGGTTGAAAACGTCTGCCAAGTAAGGTCAGTATAGTTTCCTCACCGTTTTCATTAACTAAAAAATATCTATATTACATTTTTCATATGAGAATAAAATCTCTGGGAGAACTCGTTTTCGGAAATTCAGTAATCCCTCAACTTATACGGGTTTGATAGTTTTTTTCATTGAATACTAAAATGTGAAAGAGTTCTACATTTGCAGATTGCATATTTAATGATGCGTGATTTTTAAAATATTCCAGTGCATATTGAATATTAATATCACTACTGTTAGTGCAAAAGACCGTCTGCAAAAATTGAATGTTTTACAGGAGTGCATAACAACTAATTATTTTTTTGTGATTTATTAGTATAATTTCATATTTTATTGCTCTCTGCTATTTTACATCGTAGCAGACTACTTATATCAGGTGCAGACTATAAAATTTCAACTTTAGCACAACATTTCAATAGAATAAAAGTAGAAAATATTTACTTAAGACCTTTTGCACTAACAGTAGTGATATATACTTAATAGGAAAAATTCAACACTTGTTTATTCGGAATTAACTGTAATATGAAAATATGTGTGGAGTTAACACAACTTTGGTGTTTAAGGATGAAATGCAGACCACGACAAGCTAGCAGAACTTCCATAGTAATAAGTACAATCACAACTAAGATTTTTTTTTATACAAACTCAGAGTAAAAATTAATTTAAATTCACTGAAAATACACGAAATGTAAGTAACGGCAGTAAGTGTCATGCCAGTAACGTTTAAACCAGTAACAGTATAAATTAACTTTTTGAATAAAACCTAAAATTTTATTACCCCATAAAAATATTGTGTTAACCTAACTCCCACTCCAGATGATCAATGCCTTCCACAGTTTACAGCTATTATATTTTTAACAATTATTTATATTAATTTTAATTATTAAATGAAATTGATACCAGATAATTTCTATGCTATTCTCCAAATTTCCTCCAAGTTTGGATCAAATGGAATGCGCACTTTACAAACTATAGGCTTGTCAAATAATAAATTTCCTGACCTAAAAGTGGAAGTTTTTTTTTGTTTTGTTTTTAAGTGTTGGATACTTTGTTAAAATACGTACCTACCTGATTATATTTTTACCAATCCCTAATATCCCTCCAAATTTGAGCCAAATCGAACTGGCGGTTTTAGAGATATCAAGGAAAATACGTTTGCTCATTTATAAAAGAAATTAATGTGACAGAATTCAATAAAATTTACAATACATTATTTTTTCACTAATACCTACATTTTATCCGACTTTGAGCCAAGTCGAATGAGTCGTTTCTGAAATATTGGCATATCTATGAAAATACATTTACGCGTGCGCATGCGGAAGTGGTAGATGGAATTCGATAAAATCGATATGGGACCATCTAGACACCAACCCGCACAATCTCATAAAAATTGGATGAACGGTACTGGGTGATATGTCCGTCTCGTCGATTTGACCACAGACAGACATACACCGAATCAAATTTGATCCTTGATGTCTGAAACGTAAAACGCGAGTGAAAATTTTCGACTCTGAGCACATAATTTTTGTTAACCTCTCACACGAATACAATGCTTCCCTACCTTCGGTAGTGAGGAAGCAAAACTATTAGTATGATTAAAAAGAATAATTTCACACAAGAATCTTGAAATATATCTGTGATTCAGCAAAATTGTATAAAAAATGGCAGCAGTATAGATTAAGCTATTTCGAAGAAAAAACAAAACAAAAAAAAAATACCGACCACATATATTGTAATAATTTCCTAATAAAATGATTGTTTAATGTATCAAGGAGGTTTGAGTAAGCCTTTCCTTTTTTGTATACTGTAGTGTGACCGAGACGGTGAAACGAGATGGCGCTGGGTTTGCTGCAAAAATAGGTCGATTTTATGCAGCCCGTTTGCTGGCTTTTATTCAACGAACATTCTTGACAAAATATTACCAATGATATAAAAAAAATCATTATATTCCTTTTATTATTTTATTTAAATAATTACATCTTTTTATGTTACCGTTGAAAGTGTATTTACCTTTTAAAAATAAGTTATAATTGTTTTTGAAAATTTTATCGGAAAACAGCCAATCTTAAAATATAAATGAAAAAAATTTTTTTTTTCAAAATTTGATCACACATTGGCGTCAAATCAATCCGGTTCTAAACCTTGTGGATTCGATTCCCACCTGGGTTTGTTAATTTTCATTTTTCGGCGGCCTGTAAAATAAATATTGGCGAATGCCAATGGAGAGTGGGAATCCACTTTGGTAAGTACGCGGCGGCAACTTCAAGGAAACCGT